TATGGATCCAAACCATTTACAATGTGGATTTTTGTCCACATTCCGGTCCCCGACATCTTTATTTAATGTATCTCTGTACATTTTGCATCCATTTCGGGATTTTAACATGTTATTTAACACTTCCTTTATTCCAAAATCTGTTTCTTCTCTGTGACGTACTGCTTGTTTTCATGGTTTGTATACCCTCGCAAGGCCATCAACATGTCTGCCACATCCCAGAATGCGACGCATAATCACCTGTGATCCTGAGCCCTATAAAACTGTTGAGAGATGGACATTCTGGTCTGTTTGTGTGTGTGTGTGTCTGACCCCAACAATAAAAGCTGCATTTGCTACAAGCATCCATAGTATTTGTAAAAAATTGTAGCTGATTTTGTCTCTTGCAGGTCATTTTTAGAACGTAACTCCTGCGATAAACAAGGGATCGCTGTATTTGTCAACATTTAGCAAAGTTACCTTGATAGCAACCTTTAGGTGATCATAACTATTGTAAAAATGCTATATCTTACCTGTTGAGGAGACCTTCGTAAATGACCTCTTCTTTGAGAAATAGAATGTTGGTGTCGATTGTCAATTATCTAGAACATGATACTCTTGAGAGTTTAATTGAAAATAACTGGCCTTTAATTTCAAGCCTTTCCTCCAAGAGGCTTCTTCAGTTCTAAAACTTGAGTGGAGTGAGGGAGTTCTGTAAGTTGTGCTCAGAAAGAAAGTGTTGATAAGGAAACAGAAGTCACTATTGCGGTAGCGCGACTCGGGTTGTGAATGACCACAGTCACCAGTTGTTGTCATGTATGTATGTATGTATGTATGTATGTATGTATGTCTGATCTCAGAATTGTGTGTACTGAAACTCTAATTTGCCTCTGGGATTTGAATTGAATGAGGCCATTGTTATTACTAATGTTATCAAGGCAACACGAGTCGCTGGCCCGGGGGTGAGTGTCCTAACAGGTCCCCGACAAGGCCAGCAAGCGGACTGTTTCGGTCACATGACTCAAGGTGCAGGTTTCTGTGAAACTGCCAGGCTGAGGCATAACAAGTCAAGGCTACACTGTAGGTGTTGAAACAATGAACCCTACGGCTCCTCCATTGGCGGATTTAACTATTTGGGGGCCCAAGGCGAACACAGGTATGGGCCCCCCTTACACTAAATTTTTGACAATCTTATCTTTAACTGGATTTGCGAAACTCTTCCCTCATCTGACATGAGTTATTTGTTATTTGATGTGAGGTGAGGTGATCTGTATGCCACAAAGAAACACAAAACAGCACAAAAATGGCAGCAATCTTGTATATTCTGCTCTGTCTCTTTGTCAGACTCTGAACCCAGAAATGGCTGCAGGCAGCAAGCTCTGGAGCTCTAGACTGATTCCACCCCCTAGCCAGTCAGTCAGTAGTTGATGACGCCACATTTTAAGCACAGCTCAGTACGCTAGGAACAACGGAGCAGGTAATGAAATGTTAGGGGGAAAAAAAACTCAGTGTTTCAGGAAAAGGCTTCCCAACCATTGAACTGAACTCATTGAAATCACGCTGAGTAGTGAAGTTGGAAAAGGGCCATAAGCCCCTACTCTTGACGCAAGTTTTAGAGCTGAAGAAGCTTGTTGGATGAAAGGTGAAACATCTTCAAGATAACAAAAAAAACTTCATTTGTTTTCAATGAAACTCTAGGTGTCTACAGCTAATTTATGCTACTTACAAGGATAGAGTTCACCAGCAGCAGCTAAATGCAGCACTTCCTGTGAATCCTTGAGTCAAGTCTTGCAGAAATCACTTGATATTCTTGCTCCGCTAAACATTTAATGTAAAATAGATGTTTATTATTATTTTTAAATATATTTTTATGTAATTTTTTTCATTTTCTTTCAGATTAGATTTGTTTGATGATAGCACTTTCGGTCATGTTGCTTACATACATTGGAAATGTTTATTTTTTATTTTTTTAATGTTTAAAGGAATGCAATGACCTAATAAACTAAACTTCAAACTTCACTTTGATCTCAGCTTTTAGACTAGCTGTTAGCTGATCAATCCTGTCATAAATAAGCCCTGTTTCTCCACCTAGAGGTTGTTAAGGAAGATGATGAGACAAAGTAATACAATTAAAGCTAATGGTAGTTTTAAACTGAATGTAATTTCATCTAAATTCCTGAAAAAAGCTCCTAAACTACACTAAAGCAATTACAAAACTTCTACAAGTACTAATGACCATAGGTGAACAAACTTCATGATTCATTTCAAGGGCGGTCTTCATGTTTCACTGTAATAAAGCTAATTTACAAAATGCTAAATGAAAACTAACATGTTGTAATATTTTAAAAACATATTGTTTAATGTTAAAGGAAACCAATCATTCAGATTGTATTTTCCATCCACCTCTGTTTTGTCTAAAATGTTTCTATCAGTGAATTTAAACAGAAAGTGCAGCTATGTGATATTCTTGGAAGAAGCTGAGTTGCATACAGAAGAGCATCAGAGGTCTCCAGCCATCACATTTATTACTACCTCAGCATTTTCCTTTGGATCACACATATCCTTTGACTGCTTTATGTTATGTTTGCAGGAGCTGAAATGCTTTTTTTTGTACAATTCTAATGAACAGTCTTCCCACTTTCAGAGAAGCATACGTTTTTAATTCCATATATTTATTTAAGGGGCTTCTAGCTTGGACTTCTCTAGTTTTATTTGTGTAAATTAGAGATTTATTCATCAATAAAGCAAAAACAAAGAAAAACATCACACAACTTTCCCTCTGCATTTCTTCTGTTTTTAATGTGCAAGACAAAATCCATTCTTTTGTATTGTTTTTTCTTTAAGCCAAACATGGGCATAATGCATAACATCAGTAAATGCACCGCCTGCAGCATGACCACAAACACTGCCTCATCTTTTTGTTGTATAAGGGAATAAACAGAAAACAGGATTATACAAATCTTTGAAATGAGACAAAGACAAGATGCTGACGACTGAATCGTGACGACAGCGACTCCATTTTTCAATTAAAACATTAATTATTGATGCACCAGCAGAGCCTGATGGTGTCATTATTTGATGCTCTTTCCCCTTCTGATTCTGGTGCTTTAAGAAAAAAACACACTCTGCCTCGTCACTCAGATTGCCAGGTGACAACTGATTGGACCTTGGTTGACAGTAAGCTGCAAAATCCCTCATCAGTTGTGGATCAAGTGAAGTAATTGACAATGTGCAATGTCCCAAAAATTAAATCCTTTTACAGATGCAAAACAAGTTTGTATGATCACCATGCTCTGCAGAACGACATAATGTGCTCATCATATGTGCAAAAATAGGGCTTGCATACCTGCAGCTACTTCTAAGTGTTCCTTTTTGAAATACTGTCTTTCATTATTAAAGTGATGTATTAAGAATATATTAGAATGCTTTAAATGTTCTATCTTCACTCTTAGGCTTTCTAAACTCCCTTCTTACTAAAAATAAACCAGATGAAATAAAGAGTTCAGTTTGAGTTCACTGACACACCAGTAGTATTATGTTTAACTCATGCATGTGGCACACATTATCAATGAGTTAAACACAAAAGTAAAGAGAAGAGCTACACATCTCTGAATGTTAAGGAACTCCTATGCCCTCAGTTTCACTACAGCATCACAATCATCACTTCTCCACAAGTCAGTTCAAAATCAGACTCAACATGTCTGTGATAAAAGGAAAATAAAATCAAAATAAAGAAAGACATGTAAAATGTAGTCCTTATTTTAAATCCATGATGACCAATAATGGGCTTACCTACTCTACGTTAGATTCAGGAACACTCTCCAGGTATGCGCCCCACTATTTTAAGCTTTACTTCAATGCATTTTTACTTCTTGATTATTCTGATGATATCCTGTGCTAAAATGTACAATCATGAACTTTTAAAAAAGGTCATCTTAATTTTATTTATTTATTTATACATTTTTGCATGGGATACTTTAAATGTGTCTGTTTACAATCACCTGGAAGTTCTTCCTCTTTGATTCATGTGATAAACATTCCAGATGAACCAAAGATCTCCAGATGTCAAGGTAAAAATGATTTCTTGTGACACTTTTTGCCATATTTGTTTCAAGAAACTGTGAAGGAAGGTTTAAATGGATAACATGCAGATGTTTATATTTTTGTTTTATTCTAGCTGAAGTGGCTGATTCTTAAAAGTCATGTTACTCAATGTGTTAAGTTTGGTGTCACACGTTTTCAAACCACATTTCTGGGTGGCTAAAAAGTTTGTAAACCTTTTTTTTTTAAATTATATAATCTTTTTGTTTTCTATTTGAAAAAAATCAAAAATTTGAACAACTGAAGAAAAAAGTAATTGATAGGAAGAAGGGGTCTGCAGCATGGCGGACTGTGCTGATAGACTGGCTGAACCAGCCTTCATCCTCCACACACACACACACACACACGCACGCACACACACACACACACACACACACACACACACACACACACACACACACACACACACACACACACACACACACACACACACACACACACACACACACACACACACACACACACACACACACACACACACACACACAGCATAAACCACACTGCAAGGAGCAAAAGTGGGAGAACACTGAGAACTGAAATTTCAAGCAGTCAGTTAACATCCATCCATCTATTCATTTTCATCTGCTTATCTGGATCAATCAGTTAACATAAAAGACAAAATGATGCAAAAACAGGACACAGCAGAAATGTTGGTTTGCAATGAGGAGAGATGCTATTGGAGGGAGGTGTAGGTGCAGAAAGGCCAGATGTAGCGTGGAGACGAGGAGGAGGAGTGTACATGGTGTACCGCGTGTCCCCTCTCCAGTCATGACTGAGCAGCAGCCTTACCATGACGGAGCTCCCGTTCCCATGGAAACCCAGCCTGTCAGATGGAGGAAAGACTGGTGGAGGGATGCAGGTGAGAAGACGAGTGATGGTAGGGAAGAAATGGTACAGATAGATAGAGGTGGAGATCTACTTACTGGGGTTTCATCGTGCCGTTCCTTTGCAAACGTGTGTCTGACATGGCTGCAGCACGTCTCACGTCTGTCTCCTCTTCCTCGTCCTGCTCTTGGACTCCTGTCCCCCAGTGTCCTTTGACAGAGTTATGTCCTCTTCTTCCTCCTCGGCTCCTTCTCCTCCCTCCCTGCCTCCCTATATTTTCCTCCTCCTTCTCTCGTCCTGCCTTTTCCGTGTGTGTGTTAGTTATGCCAGGATGTGTCGCAGCAGCTGATGCTGCCGCTCCTGCATCACCCTGCTCCACTAGCAAAAGGGAATGTTTGTGTGTATGTGTGTGTGTGTGTGTGTGTGTGTGTGTGTGTGTGTGTGTGTGTGTGTGTGTGTGTGTGTGTGTGTGTGTGTGTGTGTGTGTGTGTGTGTGTGTGTGTGTGTGTTTGAGAGGATAGAATGGGTGAATATTATAAAAAGAAGAAGAAACCATTTTTATTCTTTATCTCTAGGTATAAATCCAGATGAGGGTTACCGTGAGAAACAAAGGATGAAAACGAGTGATGATGTAGAGAAGGATGGACGAGGAGAGATGGATGGAGACACAAAAAGGGCAACGGCACTAAAGAGAAAGGGAGATAGTGGCTAAGGAGTGGCCAACCTGCCTCCCTGCTTCCTCGAGAACAACCTTTAGCCCCTGATGAGGAGGAGATTCATTTAAAGAGGAAGATAGAAATATTCAGATGGTCCTTTCTAGAACAAATGAAAAACACAGATTTTTTAGTTCAATAATGAATTGATTCACTCACTGATTTCCTTCATCTTTATCATCAGGGTTGAAAGTGGCACAGGAGTTGAGTGCTCGCCCTGTAATCGGAAGTTTGTGGGTTCAAGCCCCGCTCAGTTTGTTGCTGTTATTGTGTCCTTGGGCAAGGCACTTGCCTGCTGGTGGTGGGCAGAGGGCCCAATGGCACCAGTGCGCAGCAGCCTCACCTCTGTCAGTGTGCCCCAGGGCAGCTGTGGCTACATAGCTCATCCCCACCAGGGTGTGTGTGTGTGTGGATGACTGAATGACTGATTGTGTTGTAAAGCACCTTGGGGTGTTCCAGGACTCTAGAAGGCGCTATATCAAACACAGGCCATTTACTATTCATCTAATTGATTGGGCCTTCCTTAGCCGTAATCCCAATCATTATTCAGCAACAAAAATGTAAAAGTGTTTCTTCAAATTCCGCTTTGCTCATAAAATACAGACTTTCAAAGATATGATAACCTAATTTAATGTGTGCTTAGTTTTCATATTAGTGGTTTAGGTTAAAAATGTATGAAGAACCCCTAAGAAACAAATGAGGCAAAGATCACCAAACTTTCTGAATGAACACACTTTTGACTGCATCATAAATGTGAGACAGATTAAATGTCAAAACAATTCTGTAGTAGTGAGTCCAAAGAATGTTCATTTGCTGCTTAATTAACTACAGTGCAGTATATAAAAAATAGTTTTATGGGATACGATACATTCCACTGTAGCGGTGAGGGTTTGCTACATTATTTGTTAGGTGATCAATAAGATGTGATATTCGATATAAATACGAAATTTGAATCTGATTGATCTTTGAATGGTTGATTTAGATTACTCTAGGTTCTTTGACAATTCTGGGAACACACAAATTAATTCAGACAGTCAAGTATATAGTAATAAAAATTAATCTAATTCATTTTTTCCAACTAATGACTATACATGACAAAATATGAGTGAAATTATGGTTGTACAGGTAACAGACAATAGACGAAATGATGTAAGCTAGATGTTTTAGCAGAACCTTGTACGTATCTGAGAGAGCTTGTGATGTCTGGGTTGTAAAATCAGTTTGGTTGTATGGCTTGATAAACTAGAGATTATTCATAAAACCATCCGACACCATCATTTAGCATCTACGATACCTGTCATGTTTGGGGGAAGGTACCTAACCCAAGACATGCAGAACACAACACAGACCAAGAACGGGGTAAAAATAAAATGGTTTTATTTTTAAAGAAGGAACTGAAGATGCAAAGAACAGTCTGTGGCTGGTAATGCTACGACAGCTCAGCGTCTGGAGGAGGGAGAACACTGGTGAGCAAAGGTTCAGTTTCTGAAGTCCATCTTTCGTCAGAGTTGTTCAGCAGAACTTACTGTAGGACATGAGTTGCTGGCTGGAGGAGGGAGCAGGTTGAAAGCCGGGGGAGCGCAGGAGAGGGAGCACAGGTGGAGATAAGCGGGGCGTCCTGGTGGATGGGGGGCACTGAGTGGTGATGCGAGAGGAGAGTTATGGAGATCGGTGAATTGGTCGGTGTGCTGAGTATCCAAATCCTGGAGTCCAGAGGTAAGAATCCAAAGGCTTGCGACCAGAGAACAAACACAGGAATCCTGAAGGAAGAAACAATCCAGAGTAAGCTCCTGGCGGTCAGCAAAATGTCAAAATCAAAACATACCTAGAGCAAAACACTACAAGAACATAAATCCTAGAGATACTAGAGAATAAACTCGAGCGGCTGGGTACTACCAAGCTGAGGCAATCTTTCGGCATTGAATTGTGTCCTCCAACCACCTTAAGCAGGAAACACCCCGCTGATTGCTGATCAGGAACAGCTGGGCACTCCTTCTCCTGGCAAGAGACTCAAAGATGGTAAGGAGAATGAGGAGTACTCACCCTGGCTCATGACAACACCCTTTGTGTGCCTGTTGCTGGTGGTCCAGACAAAACGCAGCCAGAGTGGTGATTTACCGGAAGTCGTGGATACAGGAATCCCAGTTCCCTTTGAATTTCAGATTTCTGGTTGAGCCATGAGATGCAACCAGGGTCTGCAGGTTAGACGTTCCCCGTTTGAGGTGTTTGGTGGCTCTTAAAAGAGCTGTTGTGTTTGATATCACTCTCAAGTGTTGCAGAGAGGCTTTGACCTTGGGGTCTAAAGAGAGAATGGTTTTAAATGCTTGCTCACCGGTCAGCCGAACCAGGAGGCAGCTGGAGAACTAAGGAATCAGGACGTTATTCCTGTATTTCTCAACTTTTGTTTATACATTTTAGACAAATCAGAATTCGACAAGTTTTAAAGGCGTTACCAAAGACCTCAGAGATTCACGCCTTCACTCAGATACTTAAAGGTTATTTCTTAGTGTGAAGTGAAAATGTTAACAGTTATGTAGAGCAAAAATGTTAAACCTAATAATAATCCCATGATGTACGAATATACTGATAGATTATATTTCTAAAATCAACAAATATTAATCTGGTGTCATTTAAAACCTGACATGAATCATTCCAGGAAAATTTTTCATTTTGACCCATCATTGATTAATGCACACATTATTAAAACGCTTTGGATTTAAACATCTTGTTCATTCAACACATTTGATTATACCAACCTATTAAGCTGTGAAGTCATTTATGATTCAAGGAAGATTAACTTTCATTCATATTTCATTCCAGAACTGCGCTGCTCTGGGTGGCTGCATGTTGGAGTAGCTCTGTTGACTATATGTAAGTTTTGCCTTTTCTTGGACATTTTTTCTTCTAGTTTCTCAAGAAAAATGGTATTTTTTTTTGGGACATTTTACTTTTCTGTTTCTGATGCTGTGAAGGTTGGAGGATTTTTACTGCTGTTCTTTTACTTTTCTCACTTTTTGAGCATTTGTTATGATGTGTTACCATGGCAACAAGCTGGTTTACAATCGGGAGCAGCTGATTAACATTGGAAAGGCTGAAAAAATACCTCAACTGAAGCCACAAATCCCAAATGAGCTAAAAGTCAAGAAGCATGGGTGCAGAACAGAAGCAAATCGGAGACAGAGAAAGAGGAAATTCAAACCATCTCTTCCATCAATCCTAATGGGCAATGTGAGACCACTGGCCAACAAGATGGAGGAACTCCAAGCCCTTTCAAGGACTCAGCCAGAGTTTCAGCAGTGCAGTGTTATGTGTTTCACTGAGACGTGGCTGCAGGACCATATCCCTGATTCCAGCGTCTCTCTGCCAGGATTCCTGACTGTATGAGCAGACAGAGATCTGAAGAGGAGTGGGAAAAGAAAAGGAGGTGGAGTGGCAGTGCTTGTCAACACAGATGGAGCCAACCAGGTCATGTTTCAGTGAAATGCCGTCTCTGCAGCCCAGATGTTTAACTCTTGGCAATAAGTTGTCGCCCATATTATTTGCCAAGAGAGTTCACCAGTGTCGTCTTGGCAACCGTTTATATTCCACCTTCAGCCATTGCTGAAAATGCATGTGATGCCATCAGTTCCGTTGTCGCTAAGCTACAAACCCAGCACCCCAATGCATTTGTGGCTATATCTGGTGATTTTCATCATGCCTCGCTCTCTGCCACACTTCCAACATTTCAACAGATTGTCAGCTGCTCTACCAGAGAAAACAAGACATTGGATTTGTGGTATGCAAATTTAAGGAATGCATACATGTCCATAACAAGACATCCTCTGGGACAATCAGATCACAATCTTGTTTTTCTCTGCTCAGAATACAAACCACTTATTCAGAGGCAACCTGTGACAAGAAAAACTGTGAGAAAATGGTCACAGGACGCTGAAGAAGCCCTGCAGGGTTGTTTTGAGACCACAGATTGAATGACTCTCTTCCAAGGATATGAAAAGGACATCAATGCCATGACTGGATGTGTCACTGACTATATAAACTTCTGTGTGGACAACATCATTCCCACCAAAACAGTGAGATGCTTCACTAATAACAAACCCTGGATCACCATTGAACTGAAGAATCTGCTAAATGAGAACAAAAGAGCCTTCAAGGAGGGAGACAGGGAATTATTGAGGAGTATACAGAAGCAACTGAAGATCAAAATCAGAGACAGCAAGGAGGCATACTGGAAGAAGCTGGAGAACAAACTGCAGAGGAACAATATCAGAGATGTCTGGTCAGGGATGAAGAAGATCACAGGCTTCAAGCAGAGGAAGGATTGCACAGAAGGCAGCCTGGACATAGCCAATGAACTGAACAAGTTCTTCAATAGGTTCAGCTCAGGAACAAACCCAGCATCCTCCTCACCTGTCCCCAGCCAATCAGACGTCCTTTCCTCCTCTGAGCCAACATTTTTCTGTCACACGCCAGCTCTTTTGTCCTCTAACACAGTCAGGGACTTCTGGTTCTATAAATCTGTCTTCAACCAAGTCAGGAGATGCTGCTGCCCCATTTACCTCCCCCTCCCACCTATCTGTCTCTAGAAGTCATGTGAATAGGCAGCTGGAGAGACTGAACAGGAACAAGGCTGCAGGTCCAGATGGTGTCAGCCCCAGGGTACTGAAGGCCTGTGCAGAGCA